CCAGGGGTGAACGAAACTTTCATATTTTTTATTATATGTACGATGGCCTAGAAGCGGATGACCGCCTCTCGGAATATTACCTCGATCTTACACTTCGGAGATATCATCGATATCTCACGCATTACAGTCACACGTCGCAAACGCACATTGACAAATTCCAGCAGCTCAAAATGGGTTTCAAGGTACTCGGATTTCAGGATAGCGAGGTAGACACGGTGTATCGGGTTTTAGCCGCTATCCTCCATCTAGGTGACATTGAATTTGCTGAAGTGGCGACACAAGACAACACCGACAATAAAAGTAGAGTCATCGACACTATTCCATTACATAGAGGTAAAATTTGTTTTGTCTTCTTTATATTTGTTATAGTAGTTCAGTAAAAAAGTAAGTTAAAAATCAAATATTATTAGAATCATCATGATTACAATTAGTTTATCAATAAAAGTCCTATATATTTAATATATGTATATATAATAAATCTTGATAAACGTCACAAAAATCACAAAGAAAATCAATTATTGTCGTAATTATATAGAAACATTGGATTTTCAGTTTCAAAACTACTCGGCGTCGAACAGAACGATCTCCTAGATGCCTTGACATCAAACTCGGTGATGACCAGAGGCGAGACAATTACGCGGAACAATACGGTAGCCGAAGCTCGTGCAGCTCGCGACGCAATGGCCAAAGGTCTCTATGGCCGACTTTTCGATTGGATGGTCAACCAGATCAATTGTTTACTGTGCTTCAGCCGTTCACCGAATTACGAGCCGCTAGCAATCGGGCTGCTAGATATCTTTGGCTTCGAAAACTTTCCTAGAAATTCATTCGAACAGCTCTGCATCAATATAGCTAACGAACAGATACAGTATTATTTCAACCAACATATCTTTACTTGGGAGCAACAGGAATACATGGCCGAGGGAATACCCGTGGATCTCGTCGAGTTTTCCGACAACAGACCGGTTCTCGATATGTTACTAAGCAAGCCCATGGGACTCTTGGCGCTTCTCGATGAAGAGAGTCGATTTCCCAGAGCGACCAATCGATCTCTGATCGGTGAGTATTCTAGATATATTATTATTTTATAAATGTATTTTTGCGCTACTTTCATTCAATATGGATATACGATTTTATTTTCGACGAAACATCTTGGAGTTAATTTTTTTTTAATAAATAAAATTGTAATATATTTTTTAATAAAATTTCTTGGTAATGATTATATTAACCAATATACAATTTTTCACTTAAAGTGAAACAAATACACAACAAATAGTAAATAAAACAGTCGACCTATTTTTATATCTTTTTTACTACTTGTAATTTTCCTGGCAGAAAAATTTCACAACAATATTAAATCAAAATTCTACGTACGCCCCAAATCGGACGCGGTCTGTTTCGCGATATATCATTTCGCTGGTCGTGTGGTCTATCAAGCCGAGGGATTCCTCGAGAAGAACAGAAACTTCCTGCCACCCGAAGTCATTCAACTGGTACGACAGTCGCAATACGACATGGTTCGTTTCCTGTTCCAATGCCCGATCACGAAAACCGGTAATTTATACTCGGCGCTGCAGGAGAATGACTCGAGAAAATCGCAGTCAAATCAAAACACAAAGGTGTGTACGTGTGCGTGTATGTGCGCACTAAATTTATATATTTTTTTCATTTTTTTTCATTTTTGAAGTATTAACAGGGTATTAATGTTTCATAGGAACGTTATTCTAGTCGAGGTTTAGCATCACAATCGAGAGCTCAGCAGACGGTAGCGACATACTTCCGGTATTCTCTAATGGATCTGTTACAAAAAATGGTGTCCGGTTCACCTCAGTTCGTTCGATGTATAAAACCAAACGATTCGAAAAGTCCACGTTTCTTCGATAAAGAAAAAGTTGTAAAACAATTGAGGTATACCGGTGTTCTCGAGACAATACGTATAAGACAAAATGGATTTTCCCATAGGATACCATTCAACGAATTTCTTAAGAGGTATTTTCAGATTGGTTACAATTACAAACGGAAAAATGCAAGATATCTTCATTGCAATTTTTATCAACTATACGAATCTATAAACTTTTATAGATATTGTTTTCTTGCTTTCGGCTATGATGAACGCGTAATTGCCAATCGAGATAATTGTCGACTTCTTCTGTTACGATTAAAAATGGATGGATGGGCGTTAGGCAAGACAAAGGTTTTTCTAAAATACTACCACGTCGAATTCCTCTCGAAACTATATGAGGAACAGTTGAGGAAGATAATTATAGTCCAAGCATGTGTTCGAAGATGGCTTGCAAAATTAAGATTTAAGAAGCAAAAATGGCAATTTGCTGTATCAGTGGTCACGTTACAACGCCATATTCGAGGATGGTTATCCCGAAAACAGACAGAACAAATGTTGGCTGAAAAACGTGCTAAAGAGGAAAATGAGGCACTTAATTTTATGATGAGTGAGTTTTATCCTCAATTTTGGTAATTTTTCTAAGTGACTCCATTATGTATCCGTATTTATTTTAATAGATGAGGTGAAACGTAGAGAGCAAGAAAACATAGACATAAATAATCGTGAAAAACGACAAATGCGTAAAAATTTAGAAAAAAACGTTGCCGCAACTGTCATACAAAGTCGTACGTATAAAAATTATATCTGCCATCTATAATTAAAGCCAAGAATTTATTGTATATAATTGAATTTTTACATAGACTTTCGAGGTTACACTATTCGTAAACGGTTTGGATACGATCTAGAGGAGCGTTTTAAGAGGATTTTAAATAATTATGATAATATATATGATGGCCACAAAGCGCTGTTACGCGAAGGACTAAAGCACGAAGACGCAGCTCTTATCGTTCAAAGATGGTACAAAAAAGAAGAGAAACTAGTTAGAAAGAAACCAGCCATGAAAGATCCTGTACATCCTAAACTACGACAAGCAGATCTAATTCAATTTTCTCAAAATGTAGTTAACAATTATTTATAGTTTTGAAATTAATACTAAAAAATAATTTATTTCTTTTTACTCAAGTTCAATTCTAGTTCTAGTCTTTTCACTTAATACTAAGAAATCGAAGAATACGATTGACTACTATTAATTTGATTAAATTAACTGTTATTTATACGATTCTATTTTATTGATACATAGGTACATATGAAGAACCAGGAGGTTCACAAAAATCTTCGTCGGAACAAACCTGGTATCAGATTGAACGATATTGAGGAACCTCCGCTAGATTACGTTCGTCCTGAAGGATTTAATATGATGCAGTCGATATTACAGTACCGCAGCGGAATGCAGCCACAAGAGGAAGACAGTGTCAAATACTATCAGGATCTGAAGGAAGAGATGAGCAGGTAGATATATATATTTATATTTATATATATGTACATACATACATATACATAAAAATCAAGGCGCGCTATGCTTTGACTTAGCATCGCGAACAAATCAGAAATTTAAATGCTTAATTTTCGAATACTTTTGGCACTCGTATCGCAAGTGGTTCGGAATTCGAAGACGACGAAGTTGGCTGGGACTTGCCGTTGATACGGCTAGAGAATGACCTTCATTCATCGAGGTACACCGTATATAGATTTGATCGATTATTGTCTAGATAAATTTATTCTGACACTAGTTACACACACACGCACACGCACGCACGCACACGCACGCACACACGCACGCACACGCACGCACGCACAGAAGGTGTCCCAGAATACAGCGAACTAAACTGAATCCTCTACCTTTTGTTGTTTTTTATGTTGATAATACTTGAATAAAAAATTATTGAAAACCAATTCTGCGATTTTTAATAATTAATATCTTGTTATTGCAAAAATTCAAAATGGTAGAGAACTTTTCGACTCACAATCAGTTTAGTTCGTTCTATCTGCGCACGAAATATTTGGCGGTCATTCTGAAACATCCTGTATATGTATTCTTAGTTTCGTTTACGCATTACAGAAAGCAAGAAGATCTAAAACACATGCCTGAATCTTTAAATTATAAAAAAAAAGCTTAATTAAATACTTTTTTAAGTTTCAGCAAAGAACTCGGTAGAATTAATTTTTTTTTAATTAAATATAAATTTTTATTTCTAAGAAATTAATAGCATTTTGATTATAGTATTTTTGTGTACATACTCATTTAAATAGTCTTATAGTTAGACAAAAGTGGTTCGTTCATGTATCATTAAATTTAATCTATATTAATGTAAAACGAGGTAATCCTTATGCAGGAGTCGGAAGAGCCATATTCTGGAAGTAAGTGCCGAAAGGAGAGATCGTACAGTTCAGAGCGATTTTGTAATAGCACCAGAGCAACATCTATCAAACATTTGGCACAAAGCCCTGCGACATCCTTCCGATCTTCGCAAAAACGAGAGCTCCAAGAAAAATGTCAGGTAAGAATTGCAACATATATTTTACAAATTTTTTATACTTATATGATAATATTAAAAAACTTACTTGAATGAATGCGTTCAATCTAATGATTAAAACTTAAGAAATTTAACTACGATAGTTTTCTAGTTGTTCAATTATTCAAAATTTATAAAGAAAACTGTAATAAATTTTTTTTGAAACTATATATAATTTGTAAAGGAGTATGTTAAAAAGAGACATATTTTATAATATTTTTTATAGATTTTGACTTCCTGAATATATCATGTTCATGCTCAATTTTCAAGATGTTCCCCATTGATCCTGAACTTTTTATTAACATTATCGCAGAAAGTCAAAATCTATAAAAACGCTATTTCTTTTACTTACACTTTTATCGATAAAAATCGGCTTCTTTTTAACACCTTCTTTTGTACCAATTTTAATTTTAATATTACTAATTATAAAATGAACTTATATTTTAATAAATATCTAATAATATAATACAAAAAACTATGTCTAGTTTGGGCCCCGGCTGAACAGCATTTGACCTAGCTAGGATCATAGAAAAAGGATTAAAAAGTTCCATATGTACAACTTTGTAAAATGAGTCCCTTGGGTGCTGAACAGTTGTTCAAAGTTCATTATTATGTATTGTATATCATATAGGATTAGTTTTATTCGATTTCTCGAATCACCTAATGTCTGGAATCCAATCTTGACGAAGACAACTAAAATCTTTTTTAGACCCCAAATGAATAATTATAAGTGATATATATTAATTGATGAAGAGAGGAGAGAGACACTCAAAGTATGAAACAAAGAAGTTTTAATTACCTAATTGAAATTTGGCCAATATATGGATCTTTATCTCTCTTCAGCCAAATATACACTTTTTTTAACTGCAATGCCCTGCTAAAATGCCCTGCTATTCAATTTGATTTAACAAAGAGGTTGCGGTTCAATATTTTTAATTAAAATTTCTCTCGTTTTCTTTTATAATGGTATCAACAGGCATATATATTTAAATGTGTTGAGTGGGACTCTTGTGGAACTATTAGGTTCTTGTTCCAAGAAATCTAGCACTTCTTCAAACAACAAATGTTTAAGTGACTGGTTTTTTAAATATTTTCCACCTACAGTAAATCTCATCGCGACCAATAGCTGCTTCGAGGTGATCCCATATCAAAGTCTGATTTACCCCGATTGGTATATTCGCTTGTTCATCCCCTTCCCCTCCTCCCAGGGCGAACTCCAGAAGCATCGTCGTCATTACAAGCAAATCCGAATTTCTGTGACATGACGGCATGAATCGCGACCAGAGACTTAGCTGGATTAATGAACTGTACTAAATACATTTTAATTATTACTTCAATGTCTTTGGCACAATCCGTTACCGTTGTCACTACGGGAAGATGCCTGGACGCAAAGAAATTGGATAAGACTAATGTTACATGAGCATAATAGCGAACTGTAAATAATTCTAGCACTCAGGAAATTTCTCCTATAAAGTTGGACTTATGGAATTTTTTATTCTCTTTTGATACCTTAAAATTTTAAACATGTTTCAAAGTTGTTCGGAGTCCAAATTCCTCTATAAAACTGAGCATAGTCCTTTAGATCGATAAAAATAAAAATAAATTAAATACGAGAATTCCTATAAATAAAAAACTAATCTCGCATTTATATTCTTATATATATTGCCAGAGGCATTATGGTAAATTTTCAGGTAAAAATATCAATTTATTCTGTCACTACTTTGATAAGTATATATAAATATATCTCTTACAATTAGTGATTTTGTAATTCGCAAATAATGTAGTCTCAATTCATAAAACAATAAATATAATTTGTTTTATATTGAAATATATCTTTTTTTAAGTTTTTTTCTTAAAGACCGAATTCAAAGCAGAATCCATTTTTTCAGTACAAGGGTTAATAACCTCCGTAACGAAAACCTGCAATCACACACGAGTGGACAATATACAACCGGTTCTCCGAATATCCACGATCCACTTGGCCTACGATTAACGATCGATGGCCGATATAATGCCATAAACGAACGTCAAAATATCTTTAATGGACAGAATCTTGTTAATGACCACAATTCCGTTAATGAATATCACACATCGATCAACAATCATCAGACTCCCTGTAAAATAAATAACGGCATTGCAATGAGCCAGATAAAAATTTGGAATACTGAACAATCTGAGTTAAATAATAACGGTTTGATAAATAATAAATCCGAAAAGACAGATCGATCGAATCATAGGCAAAATGGTTATCCGAAAAATCATCAAAATAATAATATAGATAAGAATGATCTCAATCGAATAGCGAACGGAAAAGTGATAAATCAAGAACAGTTTCAAAATGATACTTTCAATATTACAACTAACCTTAGGCAACTTCTAAGGCCAACGATTATTGAGAAGCGGCAAGAAAGTGCCAAGGCTGAATACGATACGGAAGACATTAACGGACCTTACAATTTTAGGCAATTGCTAAGACCAACCGAGTATCTCCCGACTGAATCTTTAAGGAAAAGAAAAGGAGGAATCGTTTCCAATGGAGTGTCACTGCCGAAAGACAAGGTCCCGGAGAAACATGTTAAAAGAAGAGCGCCATTGGCACCGACACAAAACAAATCGATGATCGCAAACAAGTGATATTAATTTATATTATTCAATTAAAATATTTCAAGAGATTTTATTTTATAAAGGATGATTTCATTTTTATGAATAATATCTAATACAAAAAAGTCAAAAATCAGATACAAAAAAGTAAAAAACCAGATACAAAAAAGTAATTAATTGTAAAATACTAAAAATTCTTAATTAAACGCGTATATGTATTTTCTGTTGATAAGTAGTGAAATAAGTTAAAATTCTATTATTATTGCCATTTATACAAAAAATAATCTATTGTAAAACTTAAATGTTAATATATTATAAGATAATTCTTACACGTATATATATATATATATATA